GTTTTTTGTTCTCCAATTCTTCTCTATGGTATACCAGAGGTACATTACTTGGGGTTTGTAACTACGGTGACATGATACCAAGATCCCGTCACAATCTCGCTCTCGTATAAACGTTCCAACTCAGAAAAAATGCGAATGCGCATGCCCGAGGTAACTAGGATACTGGGATGTCCAGGTGGATCAAAATAGCTGCCCACGATATGACGGATTACGAGAACTATATTTTCTGTACATTTTCGTTGTATTACATTTTTCACTATGATAGTGACAAGAAAAGTTTATTTTTTTCATTACAAACCTTGAACATTGATATGCGTCATGTCAGAAGGTCGTAGCCTCAGTCTCGCTATCTACGAGAAGAGACTTGAATGGGATCTTGACATGATATCACCATACAGTACTATGCGAGTTGCAAACCCCAAGTAATGTACCTCTGGTTATACTACAATTAAGTCACCTCTTAGCCAAACAAAACTTAGGTAAAACATGACATGCAGATTCAACATATACTGCATTTACTCCATTAGAAGAGCAAACTTAAAGGTCGGTGGTCGTCGCGCTGTGCATGTGCAACATTTGTGTTGATAAACATTGAATTTCCCACAATCCAATGCGCTCTCCTGGAAATCACAAGTATGAGGTTTGACCTGGGCGCGACTTGCCATAATTACCGCCGGTGACTTCTTCAATACCTTCCAATCACCTGAAAGTTACCTAATTAAAGCTTAGAAACGTGTCAGTTCGTACTCTGTGCAACAGTATATTAGTCCCATCTTTCTCGCGCATGCGTGGCACAACGACGACCACCCTTTAAAGGTTAACATGTACATTTTGAAAACTTAAAATCTAACCAAAAAGTACATTTTCAGCTTGTATGAATCTTTATTCATCTTTCCTGCATGTCATTTGAACAATTCTGACCAATAGCGTGGCAAAGTGTGCATCTCAAAACTCGAACAAGCAATGCGTCACTGCTGCCAGCTGACATATTTATTACATTAACATGTTCACTTAGTTCAAATGCAAGACATAATGCCCAAAGTGTCACTTGTTATTTGTAAACTTAAAAGCACTGTGCAAAGCATATTTAGAACAGAAAAAGAAATGTAGATCAGTGCACAGTGGACGAGCAGCGATAACGAAAATATATCAGACTGTGGAAAAGTGAGTTGTAGACACACTTCTAAATACAGTAAAGTACTGTATTTTCAATTGAAATTTGTTTTCGCTATTTTCACTAGTGGACTGAATCAGTGAAAATAAAATGCCTTTACATCTAAAATAAAGTATTTTACAGTAGTGTGTGTATTCAATCACTTGATAACATGATTCATTTCAAAGTCTATGTGACCGAAACAATATTTAAAAGATTGCAAAAAATATTATCACCACAGTATCTAAAATATTACCCAAAGTTCAAATAACATCACAAAATAGTAAAATATGAGATACAATGGGTGAATCCTTAACATGTCTCAAAACCATCTATTGTATCACAAAGTGAAGGTATGGATAGTTATAAAAGTGCTCTCACTTTATAGACACTGCTCAACACATATAGTAGTAATAGTTCCATGTTCAATGTTGTCTCACACTATGGATACTTTAAAAAAACCGAGCTGTTCTATTGATTACAAAATGAAACCCTTAGATGGTTATACACAAAATAACAGGAAGCTTTTGCGGTATAAAGGTAAATATAATTTTAACACGGAAGCACTGGTGGCTAATTTGCATAACTATGTGCAAACATAGTTCTTGAATATTTAAATCTTTTGATTACACTGCTCACAAATGCATGAATAAACATAATTTTGGCAAGAATATCATATTTCATTTTAATATATACCCGAATATTCTGTGGTCAAGAATACATGTACTAAAGAAATTCAGCAGCAATTAGACTATTTAAGGGAGAGTGGTTTCAAAGTTAGGAATGTTGTATGAATTTCGTTTACATTTATGAACAATTTCGACAGCCACAAAGTCACAATGAAGAAATCAAAATCAAAGTCAAAATAGTATGGCATAGTATAACCCCAAAAAAATTTTTTTGAACTTCTGTAATCATAAATTATTCCCACCCTCTCTCTCTTATTGAAATGACATACTGGCAATCTCAATATATTATTATTATATATCTTTTCCTGACTAAAATGCCAGTGAAAACATTTTTGGAGATTTCTGCTTGAGCAGGGATGTGATTTCTATCATGAACTGTTTCTACGGATACAATGTAAAAAAGAGAAAGTGTTTGTATGAGATGTAAACATGAATACACCTGAATGAGTTTTCACAAATGACAATGTTCTATTGTTTTCACTATACTGCATAATATCAATAAAGCATACATTAATATTTATTATTAATTTACTATGCAGTAAATACACATGAAATTCAAGACACAGATAACAAGGAAGCCAAATTACTGAGCTTCAAAGACTGTTTTTTTGATTCACAATACAATTACATTCTCTGTAGGATATAAAGGTATGAATGAAGAAATGAGGTATTTACAAAAACAAAACAAAAATGGCAAAATGTTCTGTCATGGGTTGCCACTCTGTATGACCATAAAAATAAATACATTCTCGGTGATAAATATTACAATAATAATGACTCTCAATTTTCATTTTATTGACAATGGTTTTTTATCATCATTGTGTATTACAGTGAATTTCATGAAGGCATGAATATTTTTTAATCTATGAAATATTTATAAAATAGTAACCCTAGAAGACCTGCTTTCAACAGATGTACAAGATATTTTGGTTATGCCCATTACCCATGATTCTTTGCATCTTTTCAGGTTTCCTTTGATCATTGATTAGTTTTACTATAATGCCTTGTGATCGGTCAAATTGTTTTTCAATCATCATTTGAAATTTATAAAACATTTATAAATATTTTAAGATAAAAAATATTCATGCTTTCATTCACTGGTATACCTAATAATGATAAACATTTCACAACTCAATTTCATCTCAGACATGCATTGGTGTTCGATTCAGTCAAATTTCACTGAACTCACTGATTTCAATAACGCTTATGAATGATAAATACTAAAAATAATTTTCCACATCAAATGTACATGGTAGTTAAATAATATATTCAGTCAAATATAGTTTTTCACCTGAAGGAGAAATTCTTGGAAATCAAATCTGCTGACAATACTGGAGTTGAATTAGTAGGGCATGTGTCAATGTAATAAAATGTCAAAAAATGTCAAAAACATTATAACTTTGAGTATGCAATAAATGCATTTTGGTTTACATGTACATGTGTGCTTCAATTAAAGGCATGCTTCCAATAGAGAAAATACTGTACATATTTATTCCTGCCATTTAAATATCAAGTCATACTGGGTTAGGGTTTTATATGCTTCATAGATATGCATGATTCAGTATGGTTTTTTAATGACGCAACCAATGCAGTACGTAGTAGTTTTATAGCATATTAGATCACAT